AATTTGCAGGTAGATATTGCCATGTTGTGAACACAGCTTCCTTGGCCATCAAACCTGGAATTTTCTAGATCAGAGGCAAGGGGCCACTTTCTGTACCACAAAACCTCCATTTCAGAAGTATCTCAAATCTATTTCAAAATGTTTCAAATTTGCACGGTCAAATCAATTTTTTTTCCATCAATTTCAGTAAAGGGGAAGTAGAAATGTAATTGTTTATGTCCCTACATCAAGTCAAACAATATATTGTTCGATGAGGATAAGACAATTAAATAGAAGAAAGGAAAATATGTAATTGCAATAAATGCAGGAATTATTCATAAAACCTAGGGCAGTAACAATTTAAAATAATGCAAGAGTGTAATAAAAAATTAGTGATACCAGTGGTGCAAAGTTTCAGAAGGAAAGTTAAAGTATTTCAGGGAATTAAATACTAATGAATGTAAATTAATGCCATTAGGTCCACACAGGAAACAGGAAGTTTGGGCTGTTATAATTACATGAATACTTGGAAAAAGGAAGAAAAGACAAAATCAAGGTTGGAAACTGGGGAGTATTTATGTTATGTGATGTTTACATAGTTTTGATGCTGTTAATGGTTATGCTAATAGTCCAGAAAGCACAAACTCAAAACCCAACATAACATTTTAAGATTTTGAATAGTGTTTTAAAACTTTAGAAACAAAAACATTGGCCAGTATAACATGTGCTGCAGTTAAAAAAATTATAGTCATAAAGCCTGCTCGAGAGGGGACAGTTAAAATTCATGATGCAACACATGGGAATGATAAGCCAAAATATTAATAAAAATTAAGTTTGAAAAAAACAGCAGGTCAGCCAGTACCTGAGCAGGAACACAGGTTCGTGTTTCAGATAGTGCAAAGGAAAGAGCTATTACTTAATAAGCGATTTAAACTTTCAATTAAGCTGATGGACTATGATACAAGTTCCCTGGAATCTACCCAAAAGAAACAGTACACTTTAGATGCTATAATTGGCAGCATAGAAACTGGCATTAAATACATATGTTAATGATTACTGGTTTTCAGCTGACATAAGTGACTGGCCATTTTCAAAATATTCAGAATGAAATACTAATGAATGGAAGTTAATGCAATGAGGTCCACGCAAGGAAAGAGGAAACTTGTGCTTTTTATAATTATGTGAGTATTAAATGGGAATACTTGGAAAAAGTGAAAGCAAAACAAGGTTGGAAATATGGGAAGACTAATGTTGCGTGATGCTTACGTGGTTATAACACTGTTAGTGGTAATGCTTATGGTCCACAGAGCATAAACTCAAAACCCAACATCACAGTTTTAAGATTTTGAATGGAATTTTAAAAATTTAGAAACATAAACAATAACCAGAATAACATTTTAAAAGGTGAGTACTGCGTTAGTAGGAGTAACCATGAGTGAAATCTTGTTGAGGCATTGGGATCTAATCTGCCAGGTGCTGACCTGGCAAGAGATCCTTTCCTCTTCCAGGAAAGTCTCACTGAATCCAATCTGCCAATTATGAGTGAGGCTACTGGTGGACATCCCCTGGAATCAAGACCCAGGGGATCGAAGTTCCACACAGCAAGAGGTACCTGCCCATCAGAGGTTAATAGCCCACGCTCAGCAGCACTATTAAGGAGCTGATGGGTTCCAAGCTTATCCCCTCTAGGAACTGAAGATTTCATCCAATTAATTTGTTGAATTATCCAAAAACATCCAATTGATTCACCTGTAGTGGGAACTGAAGAAGGGTCCAGACCCGCCACGTCAGCTTTCCTGCTCCTCTGATGCTGCTTGGCCTGCTGTGTTCATCCAGCTCTACACCTTGTTATCTTATAATTGATTCATTAATTCTTTTAGGGCAAGAACACTGCAGTCCTTACCTAGTCTTGCCTATCACTGACTCTAGTCCCACATTGATCTGGACGATGTCTTACTTCTTCTGAAGAGTCAGAGGAAGTCCCTCAGCTTGATCAAAGACTATGAGGGATAGTACAATGTTTGAGTAGTCAACCCACCACCACCTTCTTAGCACCTAGGATGAGAAACAAGTGTCAAACCTGCTGGTGACTCCCACATGTCAACAGAAAATAAAATGTTTTAAAAATGCCAGGAATACATCAAAAAGTAAAGAATAGGAATAAAAAAAATGGGATTGAGTGAAAAAAAAACTGCAAGCAAAAATGAAAATTATAAACACTGCAAGTGAAAATGAAATTCCAAATTAGGAATGGAATTGAAACAAACAGAAATGCTGGGAACTGGATTTGGTAAAGATAGATATGCTTCAAATCGCATTAAAAGTACACTGTGGCAGTAAGTTAATAATGCACATACAGAATAAGGACTTAAATGAAAATGCAAGAGCAAACTAGGAACAAATTTGTACTTAGATTTGTCAGTAGGAACAGGACAGCACCTCGAGCCTGCTCCGCAATTAAATGGGATCATAGCTGATTCAACATTCCTCAAGTCCACTTGTAACCCTTGATTTCCCTGCTGATCATGAATGTATCAATCTCAGCCTTAAACACACAAAAGGACTCTCCTCCCAAAGCTTTCTGTGGAATGGAGTTCCAAAGATTTTCAACCTTTTGAGAAAAGAAATTCCTCCTCACCTCAGTCTAAAATTGGTGCCCATTTATTGCAAAACTGTGTCCTCTGACCTGAGGCTTTCCCATGAGGGGAAACATCCTCTCAGCATTTACCCTGTCAAGCTCCTTAAGAATCCTATATGCTTCAATGAGATCACCTCTCATTCTTCTCAACTCCAGTGAGTAGAGTCTGAACCTTAATAATCTTTGGTCATAAGACAGCTCCTCTATACCAGGGATCACCCTAGTGAACCTTCTCTGAACTGATTCAAATTACACAATATCTTTCCCTAAATAAAAGGGAACTAAAACTGCTCACAGTACTCCAGATATTATCTCACTGGCACCCTGTACAGTTGCAGTAAGACTTCCCTATTCTTATACTCCAGGCCCCTTGAAATAAGGGCCAACATTCCATTAGCTTTCCTGATTACCCACTCTATCTGTATGGTAACTTTCTGTGTTTCATGCACAAGTACCTCCAGACCTTTGTTTCGCAGCTTTCTGCAGCTTCTCTCCATTTAAATAATATTCTGTTCAATTGCTCTCCCTTCCAAAATGAACAATTTCATATTTTCCCACATTATACTCTATTTGCCAACATTTTACCCACTTACCCAACCTATCAATATCACGCTGTAAACTGTTTGTATCCCCCTTGCAACCGGTCTAATTTTGAGTCATCTGCAGGTTCAGCTACAGTACATTCACTTCCTTCAAGTCTTTTTTGCTAACTGAAAAAGAACCCTCTTTCACCATTCACTGTTTCCTGCTCATGAACCAATTCTCAATCCATGCCAACATACAACCTCCATCACCGTCGGCTCTTATGACTTAACCTTTTGTAAGACACCTGGTCAAACTTAAAAACAAAAACATTGTAAATTTAAAAGTTGTTCAAATTCTAGGAGTCAGATTAAAAGAAACACAATCTCACTGTTCTGATTTTATTGCCAAATAGCTAAATGTTGTCATCAGACTGATATTTAGCCAAAATTACATCCTATAAGGGCAAGAATGGCAAAGTGGATAATTATGCTTCTTTTTGTATCTCAGAATTGTTACAGTGCAGGAGACCATTCAACCCGTTTTCTTACACCGATTCTTCAAACTAGCATCATTACTTAATGCCAATCTACCATTTTTCTCCATAACTTTGCACACTAATTCTATCCAAATAATCATCCCAATGTTGAATGTCTTAATGGAACCCTGCCTCCATCACACTTCTAAGCAGTGTATTCCATACCCTATCTACTTGCTGAGCAAAAAGATTTTTTCTCACATCACTCTTGCTTCATTTGGATATCAATTTAAATGTATGCCCTCTTGCTCTTGTTCCTTTTACAAGTGCGAACAGCTTCACCCTATCTGCTCCATCCAGACAACTCATGGTTTTGGTATCTACTGAATCTCCTCTCAGCCTTCTTCTCTCCAAGGAGATGAGTCCCAATTTATTCAATCTTTCCTCATAACTAAAGTTTCTCATTCTGGGAACCAGTCTTGTAGATTACTTTTGCATGTCTCCAATGTATTCACATCTTTGCTATAATGTGGCACCCACAACAGTATACAATACTCCAGCTGAAGTTTAACAAGTGTCTTACGCAAGTTCACATCATCTCCTTGCTCTTGTACTCTATGCCCCTATTAATAAAGCCAAGGACACTGCATATTTTATTAATTGCACTTTTGACTTGTCTCTGCTACAAACCTGGCTGCAGACCAAAAGTTATCCATTGACCATTACTCTGTTTGTTATCACTCAGCTAATTTTGTTGCTATTGTCTCTTTTATACCATCACCTGTAAGCTCAAATGTGGCCAAACCTTCAGAATTCACAATACAAAATAAAATTTATTGGCACTTAGCCGTGTTCGGATTAGTTAAGAAATTTACAATGGCATTGGAGTATTAGGATTAACATAAAAGACCTATTCACATTGATGTCACCTCAGAGCTCAGTTCAGTTATCCAGGTTATTGGGGCTGGAGTTATGTATGGGGCAGAAAAAGTGAGAGCAGCAACATCTTCTTCCCAAGAAGGCATTAGTGAAACTATCAGGTTTTTTTTTTTACATAATACAACAGACACATAGTCACTGTTAGTAATATAAACCCTACCAATTAGAATAGTAAATGCTTACCAGCTCATAGATCTACTATTTACCCAAACAGTCATGGTTCTGCCAAAAGACCCATTTCCAACATGTTGGATTGTTATCTAGTTGGATCGGTCTAGAATTAAAATTGTAAATTTATCATCAAAAACCTTTTCACTGTTCACCGTTTTTCTCTCTTTGAAGTGAAAATAAGTCCATTAAACAGACATGTTCATCGTCTTCAATTCCAAGATTAATGACTTAACTTATGTCTCTTATTTTTTGGCTGCAACCGTCCTGCCCTACCTCTGATACACATCCAGCAGTCAGTCTTCTTATTGTGTTTAGCAAGTTCTTCCTCCGTTACCACAATAAGCCTCCCACACAATCCGGTCATATCCTGTCCACTCTTTGTTAGACGGATCCAGTCCATCAGACTTCGACCTGATTTCAGCTGCACCTTTTGGAGATGAAGGTCACCGATTAATAAAGACATTGTAGAAATGGCACTTAGCTTCACATGAAAGTTTAGATACTTATAAAGAGTGTTTAATATGTAGAAACAAGACATATCCATGGATTTAATTAATGTGATATTTATAGGATATAACTTCTCTGTTAGGATCAGCAACTTGTTAAGCCATCTCCAATAATGACACGAAAAGCAAGTTGCAGTCAATTGTTGAAATGCATAATATACATCCTTTAATACATATAAAACTTGAGATTTCAAATCAGGGTTTGAAATACACAGGCTGTAACAGGTGAATTCACGATGAAAGTCCGCAAAATGCCTGTGAAAATTCAACAAGAGTTAACCAGTTTGAGAAAGTTCACGTGGCGGGGAGTTGGAAGTAGCAGAATCTGAAAGGTGCTGATCATCCAGTCACAGGTCATATCACTCCCGGACTTGGTGTGCGAAAGAGGGACAACAGTAGCAAGCTTGTGAGAGAAACAGCCTGTGATTGAAAGAGCTGCGAGCAGTGGGATCGTAAGTACTGGTGCATCGGACTGAACACCAGAATGGTGACGGTGGGAGATTGCAAAGGAGAAAGCCTGATGGTGACTGGGGGAATGAGAGGGTACAGGGGGGTTGACAGGCAGCTGAAGAGGCAAACATGATTCTGCAGCAGGGGGCGCGAGGCTGCTGGGTAAACAGCAAGTGGAGGGGAGTGGGGCAAGGCTGCCTCGCAAGGGAGGAGTGGGAGTTGGATTTAGGAATCCCTAGCAAATGCACAAAGGAGATGTATCATATCAGGGAAGACTCCCTTGATGTGCATAGAGCGGTGCTAAAGGAGGCAATCTCCTTCCTTCCTGCTTTTTCAATTCAAATGGAAAAAAAAAGCATGTTTCCCGCTCTAATCCATCTTCCAATGTCCAGTATATTATGGAAATTGAGGCCCTTAATTGGGCAGTTAAGAGCATCAGAATGCAACTTAGTAGGCATCCTGCCCAATTACAGAATCATGGAGAATGGGATGGGAGGTGGGCAGGAAGGCAATGGACTAATCATCTGTCGGGTATATATGAAACACATATTTCACATGCCTCCCTGACTGCTCATGAAAATACCTCCAGCCAAGCCCATAAAGTTCACCACAGGAAAGACTTCGGGAAGTTTGAAATTCTCTTCTGCAAACAGCAATTCATGCTAGATCAATATATGAACTTAAAACTGAAATAGAGATCTGAAATACAGTAAAAAAGGTAGTAATTGCTGGTTAATATGTTCCATCTTTAGGCATATGTATTTTGAAAAAAACTTTTATTGTTAACATGCATTGTTTTGTAGTGACTATTTAAATATCGTGGCATTTTGAAAATTAATGCTTGCCCGTGTGCTGTGACTTTCATTTTAATGGAAGGTTGATAACATCTGACGATATTGATTAATTCTTGTAATTATGCTTCTGTGTGACTCCAAGCACCCCATGTGTCAATACAAATCTAATAAATATTGATAGTACACGACTGCAGCCTGTAACAAAGAAGTTAGTGAGAATGAAGAAAGTACCTTGGAAAATCAAACAGTAGTTCTCAAAAAAATCCAAGAGGAACCTTGAATAAAAAAATTCGGCCTGTTTCAAATGATCATACAATTCAAGTCGGATGTTACAATTCAACTCAGATGTAATCATTTCATTTGTTCCCTTGTCATTTATCTTGTGTTACTTCATACTCAAATTGGTAGACCATAAAGCTAAGGAAATTAATTTATAACGTACAATATAGTGTTTTGATTAAACGACATCCACTCAGAGTCATACAGCCTGGAAACAGACCCTTCGGTCCAAACAATCCCTCCAGAACATAATCCCAAACTAATTAGTCCCACCTGCCTGTTCCTGGCCCATATCCCTCCAAACCTTTCCTTTTCAATGTACTTATCCAAATGTCCTTTAAATGTCATAATTGTACCAACATCCACCACTTCCTCAGCAAGTTCTTCCCCGCATGAACCACTCTCCGAGTAAAATATCTGCCCCATGTTTTTTTTTAAACTATCTCCCCTCTCACCTTAAAAATATGCCCCCTTGTCTTGAAATGCCCCATCCTAGGAAAAAGACCCATTACCTCTATCTATGCTCCTCATTATTTTATAAACTTCTATAAGGTCACCTCTCAACCTCCTACGCTTCAGTGAAAAAAGTCCCAGCCTTTCTTTATAACTCAAACTTTCCACACTCAGCAAGATCCTAGTAAATCTCTTCTAAATCCACTCCAGCTTAATAATATCCTTCCTGTAACTGGGTGACTAGAACTGCACACAGTATTCCAGAAGAGGCTTCACCAATACCCTGTACAACCTCAATATGACTTCCCAACTCCTATACTCAAAGGACTGAGCACTGAAGGCAAGCATGCCAGATGTCTTTTTAACCACCCTGTTTATACGCGACACAAACTTCAAAGAATTATGAGCTTGCACCGCTAGGTCGCTCTGTTCTACAACACTATCTAAGGCCCTACAATTAATTTGATAAGGCCTACCCTTGTTGTTGTACCAGAATGCAATCCCTCACATTTATCCAGATTGAACTCCGCCTGCCATCTTTCAGCCCATTGACCCTTTTGATCACTTTGTAATCTTAGAAAACCTTCTTCACTGTCAATTATACCAACAGCTTTGGTGTCATCTGCAAACTTACTAACTATGCCTTCTATATTCTCATCCAAATCATTTATATAAATGACAAACAAAAGAGGACCCAGAATTGATACCTGTGGAACACCACTGGTGACAAGCTTCTAGTCCAAAAAGCAACCTTCCACTACCACACTCTATCTCCTGCCGTTAGGTCAGTTGTGTACCCAATTGGCAAGCTCACTCTGAATCCCATGTGACTTAACTTTACTAATTTGTCTACCATGCGGAACCTTGTCAAAAGTCCAAGTAAACAACATCTCCTGCTCTGCCCTTATCAATCTTTCTGGTAACTTACTCAAAAAACTCAATCAAGTTTGTGAGACACGATCTTCCTCGCACAAAAGCATGCTGACTATCCTTAATTTTTGCCTCTCTAAATGTCCATAAATCCTATCTTTTATAATCACCTCCAACAATTTACTCACAACCGATGTCAGTCCTGATCAGTGAAAGATGAGTACTTTAAAAACATAAGAAAAAGATGCTGGAATAGGCCATTTGGCCTTTTAAGCCTGCTCTGCCACACGTTACAATGATGACTGAACTTATACCTCAATTCCATATTTCCCCATATTCCCATATCCCTAGAATCCCTTAAGCATCCAAAAATCTATCAATCTCAGTCTTGAATATACTCAACATCTGAGCAATCTATTATGTGGTAGAGAATTCCAAAGATCTACAAGTCTTCAAATAAAGAAACTTCATCTCAATTCAGTCTTATGTTATTGTTATATTGTAATGTCTTATATTAGGTCTGAGAGTCATCATTCTAGATTGCCAGACCGGATGAAATATCCTTCCAACATTGCCCTGTCAAGCCTCTTAACAATTTGATATGTTCCAGAGCATTCTAATTTTTCTAAATTTCATGTAATCTGGCCCCAGGGTCTTTTATTTCTCATCATGTAGTGATCTCCAAAGCCCAGAAATTTACTGAACTTTCACGGCATTCCTTCTAAATCAAGTACATCTTTCTGTAAGTTAAAAAGCCCCAAAATTACACCATTCTCCATATACGGTATGGTCTCACTTAAAGCTTTATACAATTTCAACAATCTCATATTCTAATCCCTTTATAATAAAAATTAACATAAAAGTCGCCTTCAAAATTGCTTGCTGTACTTACAGTTTTATCTTCTGTGGTTCATGTGGACATATGGGATATGAATATTCCAGCGTTTGTAATGTATTACGCCTTTCATTTTTCCTTTCAAAGTGAATAAGTTCACACTTCCCAACACTATAATCCAACTGTCATGTTTTGCCCACTCCCTCAACCTGGGTATAAAGTCACCTTAGTTTTTCCAGACTGTGGGGCTCTTCTCTCAATAGAGACATAACTGGTGGTGGTTTAACCTGAGGGTTACCATGCCTCAGGTGGGATAAGAGGTCGAGGAAGAAAATCCTTCATGGTAACCTCAGCCAGCATGGGAATTGAACCATCGCTGCTGGCATCATTCTGCTTTGCTGTCCAGCCAACTGAGCTAACTGAACCCCCCCTCCCCCACCACCCTGCAAATCTGGGTATAGGTGGACTTCAATTCTTCAGAGACTGTGATTAACATGAGATACTGTGTCCATGCTGTTCCTCAATGATATCACTAGAAGTGGTTCCATACAAATTAATTTTCCCTCATTCACATCTTCAGCCTCTCTGTCCCTCCTCTCAACTTAATTTCCCACCTACTTGATGTCATAAACATCCCAAAGCATTTCACAGGAGCATAGTGTTACAAATACCAGAAAGAGTAATAGGGAACAAATTTCAGAGCTTAGAACCTTGCCAAAGACAGAATACTTAAAATTAGGGATATGGAAGAGGCAACAATTAGAGTACTGCTGAGATTTTTCAAATGACCAAGATGGAGAATCTGTAACTAAAGCTAACTGGATATTATGTTGTACTTATTCAGCCATTCACTATAAATTAAAGGACATCATTTTCTCAATATATAGGCCGCTAAATCGGAAAGACAGTGCCTAATTTTGATCACTTCAAGCGGTGGATCATATACTGAAAAGGCAACAGGAAAGCTACAAAAACAATTTCAGGATTAAATAATCTCAGCTACTTGAATAGGTTCAAGGACCTTTGACTTTACAGCCACATTGATTCTGAGGTGAACAAATGGAGGTCCATAAAATAATCAAAGGCCTGGATAGTTGCTAAGTTATTTCAGTTAACACACTGTTTTAACTGTTGTTCCTTAGTCACCTGTTCAAAAAACATAATGAGATTCATCAGGCATGACCTACCTGTCATGAAACCATGCTAGCTCTCCCTGATTAACTGAAAATTTGAGGTATTCAGTTTCCTATCCTTGATTATAGACACCAACAATTTCCTCATCAGAGATGGTTAGGCTAATTGGTCTTCAGTTCCATTGATTTCCTCATCATAAATGTTTTACTTACATTAATAGTGGGTTGGGAAATAAAATTAATCTTTTGATTCTGAGATTAGAGCCCTCAATCTAAATAAGAGAAACTACAATGGTGTGAGACACGAGTTGGCTATAATGGATTGTTACTGAAAGGAACAGCAGTGGATAGGCAATTGCAAACATTCAAAGAGCAAATGTGTGAACTACAAAAATTATTTATTCCTGCCTTGGCCAAGGATACAAAGAGGATGGTGGTCAAACCTTGGCTTTCAAGGGAAATGGGAAACAACCTTAGATCCAAAAAAGAGGCATACAAATTGACTGGAAAAGAGCAACAGACCTGAGGATTGGGAATAGTTTAGAAGTCAGCAAAGGAGGACAAAGGGACTGATTAAGAAGAGGAAAATATATTGAGTAGGAGTAAACTTGTGGAAAACCTAAGAACTGACTGTAGAAATTTCCAAATTTTAACAGAAAAAGATTGGTGAAAACTAATGTGCGTCCCTTACAGTCAGAAACGGGAATTTATAACAGGGAAACGAAGAAATGGCTAATGAACCAAATTCATAAAAGTGGACATGAATAATGCAACAGAAATTTCAGGGAACACAGGTTTTGGTGAAGGGAGGAACTGACGGAAATTTGCATTAGTAGAGAAATGGTGTTGAAGAAATTGATGGGATTGAAGGTCGATAAATCTCCACGGCCTGATAACCTACATCCCATAGTACTTAAGAAAGTGGCTGTAGGGATAGTAGATTCATTGGTGGTCATCTTCCAAGATTCCTTAGAGTCTGGAACAGCTCCTACAGATTGGAGGGTAGCTACTTTAAATGTCACTATTTAAAAAGGGAGCTAGAGAGAAAACAGGGAAGTATAGACCAGTGAGCGTGATGTCAGTAATGGAGAAGATGCGAGAGTCCATTATCAGATCAGCACACTTAGAAAACAGCAGTAGAATCAGACTATAACTCAGTTTTTTGGGACAGCATATGGATGTGGTTTATTTGGACTTTCAGAAGGAATTTGCCAAAGTCCCACATAGGAGACCGATGTATAAAATTAAAGCGTATGAGATTAGGGGTAGTATATTGAGATGGATAGAAAATTGGTTAGCAGAGAGGAAATGAAGAGTAGGAATGATTGGGTCTTTTTCTGAATGGCAGGTAGTGACTAGTGGGATACCAATATATGTCAGTGACTTAGATGAGGGAACTAAATGTAATATCTGAAAATTTGATCTTTCACAGTTTTTCGCATACATTTAAGGAGTTATTTCAGAATGCAGGGGTCCCTGACTTATAAATGTACAACTTTCAAACACCTATACTTACAAATGTAATCTCATATAGGGGTGTAATTTAAAAAGTCTGACATATATGAATGTTTCCTGTACTGACGAATGGCTATTTTATGTTGTTCTGCATTATGCTCCCATTTGCGCACAAATCAACTTTTGAAGAGACTATTTCTTATTATAAAGAAAAATTCTAAAGAGTGCACCCATCATCAGCGCTTAAATGAAGAAATTAGGGGAAACATCAAACCTGATGTTGGTTCAGGGGTTGGCACTGCTGCCTCTCAGTGGCAGGGACGCAGGTTCAATTCTAGCCTTGGGTGTCTGTGTGGAGTTTCCACATTTTCCCTGTGTTTCTTCCCAGAGCCCAAAAATGTGCAGGTTAGGTGGATTGGCCATCTAAATTGCCACATATAGTGTCCAGGGATGTGCAGGCTAGGTGGGTTAGTCATGGTAAATTTGGGGTTATGGGGATTGGGGGATGGGGGGATGGGGGGATGGGGGGTGCCGAGGTAGGATGCTCTTTGGAGGGTTGGTGCAGATTCGTCAGGCTGAACGACCTCTTTCTGCACTGTAGAATTCGATGACTAAGGAAAAAAAGTGCAATTAAGAGTGACAGGTCAGTTGATTGGCAAAGAATGGCTAACAGCTTAATCAGAATGAAGAAATTAAGAGTATAAGAGGATGCTGGCTAGGAATGTTAAAACTGATTGCAAGAGTTTCTGCAGGTTGTTTAAAAAGAAGAGTAAGAAAAGTGAGATAACAAGGCGTAGAGCTGGATGAACACAGCAGGCCAAGCAGCATCAAAGGAGCAGGAAGGCTGACGTTTCGGGCCTAGACCCTTCTTCAGAAATCGGGGAGGGGAAGGGGACTCTGAAATAAATAGAGAGAGGGGGAGGCGATCATGGGAGGTGGATAGAGGAGCAGGTAGGTGGACAGAAGATGGTCAGGTCAAGGAGGCAGGGATGGAGCCAGTAAAGGTGAGTGTAGGTAGGGAGTTGGGATGGGGGTTGGTCGGTTGGTCAGTTGGTCAGTTGGGAGGGTGGGAGGGTGGGAGGGTGGGAGGGGCGGGTAGGTGGGAGGAAAGACGGACAGGTCGAGGAGGTGGGGATGAGGCTAGTAGATAGGAAGTGGGGGTGGGGGTTGGTCACGGAGGTGGGAGGAGCGGATAGGTGGGAGAAAAGACTGACAGGTCAAGGAGGCAGGGACGAGCTTGGCTGGTCTTGGGATGAGGTTGGTGGGGGGAGATTTTGAAATTTGTGAAGTCCACATCGAGACCATTGGGCTGCAGGGTTCCCAAGCGGAATACACCTCCTCTCACCCACCTTCCAGCAAGAATGCCATCCCCTATTCCCAATTCCTTCACCTCCGCCGCATCTGCTCCCAAGATGAGGCATTCCACTCCTGGACATCCCAGATGTCCTCGTTTTTCAAGGACCGCAATTTCCCCTCCACAGTGGTCGAAAATGCCCTCGACCGCATCTCTCATGTTTCCTGCAACTTATCCCTCACACCTCTTCCTCGCAATAAAAACAAAGACAGAATTCCCCTTGCCCTCACCCCACCAACCTCCAGATTCAACGCACCATCCTCTGCCACTTCTGCCACCTGCAATCTGACCCCACTACCAAGGATATTTTTCCCTCTCCACTCTTATCTGCCTTCCGGAGGGACCGCTTTCTCCATGACTCCCTCATCCACTCCACACTCCCCACTAGACCCACCACCCCTGGCACTTTTCCCTGCAATCGCAGGAAGTGCTACACCTGCCCCTATACCTCCCCCCTCACCCCCATCCCAGGCGCCAAGAAAACCTTCCACATTAGACAGATGTTCACCTATACATCTGCTAATGTGATACATTGTATCCACTGTAACCCGATGTGGCCTCCTCTACATCAGGGAAACCAGGCGGAGGCTTGGAGACCGCTTTGTGGAGCACCTACGCTCGGTTTGTGACAAACGACTACACCTCCCAGTCACAAACCACTTCAACTCCCCCTCCCACTCCTTGGATGACATGTCCATCCTAAGCCTCCTCCAGTACCACAACGATGCCACCCGAAAGCTGGTGGAACAGCATCTCATGTTCCGCTTGGGAACCCTGCAGCCCAATGGTCTCAATGTGGACTTCAGAAGCTTCAAAATCTCCCCACCCCCGATCTCATCCCAAAGACCAGCCCAGCTCATTCCCACCTCCTTAACCTGTCCATCTTTTCTCCCACCTATCCACTCCTCCCACCTCACTGACCAACCTCCAACCCCACTTCCTACCTACTAGCCTCATCCCTGCCTCCTTGACCTGTCCTCCTTCCCTCCCACCTACCCACCCCTCCCAATTGACCAACCCCCATCCCAACTCCCTGCCTGCACTCACCTTTACTGGCTCCAAACCCGCCTCCTTGACCTGTTTGTCTTCTCTCCACCTATCTGCTCCTCTATCCACCTTCCATCATTGCCTCCCCCTCTCTCTATTTATTTCAGAGTCCCCTTCCCCATTTCTGAAGAAGGGTCTAGACCCGAAATGTCAGCTTTCCTGCTCTGTTCATCCAGCTCTACACCTTGTTATCATACAGCTTTATCAGCTTGTTCCACCATTCAACACAAACAAATTTATCATCAAAGAGAACAACTTATGGACTTCCACATTTCATTTCTCACATGGATTCTCGTTGTCAATGACAGTGAAGTGATGACAGTGGGGATTTTCTGACAATTTTTGACATCTTTAATACCGTTAAAACCACAAAACCTGGATGGTGAGCGAAATATG